AGTTGGGTAAGCCTTGTGCACCATACTTTCCAAATCCAGTGCCAGCTCTTGCAGGCTCTCCCCTTTAGAACGGACTCTCGTCCTGAACCTGGCTCTGTAGACTTCCGACTGATTTTGGGTTCCATACCTGAGTTCTAGAGCCGCTACCAGTGCTCTACAGTTGTGCCTGTCGTCTGCTGACAACTGCCCAAGTATTTCCAATGGTTGTCCCTTCAAGCTCGTTGCCAGATATACTGCTTTCTGCTCTTCTGTCCATCCACTCATCTCTGCCAGGAGCTCAAATTGTGCTCTATATGCATCCCACGGCGCCTTCCCATCGAATTCCTCTGGCTTCCTTCGTACTGGATCACCCCTATTGCTGACATTCATTTCTGGGATGTGACTTCTAACAGCACTGAAGATGTCTGCATTAGGGTTTAGCTACGGTGTCTGGAAGGGGCTTGCCATTGTCTGGGGCTGATTATGTCGATGGTTAATGTATCCTCCTTGTGTAAAAGACAATAAATCATCCTATAATGTATCTAATTCGTTTTTAAATTTACTAATATTTTCCAGTTGTACTTTTTGCCACTGTTGTTGACTTTCCTGTAGTTGCTGCTGACTTTCCTGCAACTGATGGAGACTTTCTTCGTGTTTCCTTTCCTGTTCCAGTTGCCACTGCTGTAATCTCTCTTCTTGTTTATTTTTTTTCTTCTCCAACCACTGCTGTAGCCTCTCTTCTTGTTTCTTTTCTCGTTCTTCTTGTTTCTTTTGCTGTTCTTGTATTGCTGCCATCAAATCTGCTAAGCTGTAGTTTGATTTGCCGCTTCTCGTTTCCATCTTCTTTTTTTTTTTTTGTCCCACTCTCTGACATCAATTTGTTACGTCTCTGGTCGTTAGTTAATTTTCCGTAAAAATGCTTTCCGAAGAAACTTTAGCGATACAAGTCCTTTCTTAAATAAAACTTCATATTTTAGCCAATCAACTTAATTTTGATGACAGATTGTTTGTTTTGATGGGAGGTGAGATCGAGATAGTCCCTATCAGGAAGTGATCACTGTCCAGATAGTCATGTAGTTAGTATCAATATTTGGTTTTTGGACTTCCGCAGTGATTATTGGCGTATATTCTTGTGAATTGCTATTATTTGTTGTTTCTCAGTGTTTTTGATTGTTTCAGTATTTGTAGTCGTGTTTTCTTTTTGACTTTTAGGAACGTTTTCAATATTTGTTTTCGCTGCCGTTGTGTATGTTTTAGTGTTACTCTATTGTGCGTTTTGCGTATTTTGTGGGGGTTGACTTAAACTTGATGTTGTATATTTGTGTCTTAATTTGCTTGTACTTGGAACAACCTTTATAGTTTGCTGTATTTGCTCATT